GACGAGGCGAAGGAGGTTTGTCTGGAAAGTAGCAAGTGGAGGTTCTTACTCCCTGCCTATTCCGGTGGGAGACAGGCGTGATATGTATGTATTTATATATAATTCATGTGGGTCAAATATGTGTTACATCTATATAGGTTTGGTTACACGTAATAAATCGCTTCATACTATGAATAGGTATAACATAGTATCATTGCGTTATTAGAATTAAGCCACCCCTTTGCTTCCCGAGGATTCCACGATTGCTTAGGATTTGTACGTGTGCTACTGCTTATTCACTATAAGAAAACACTCGCGCCGATGACCCTAGCTATTTATTCCGGATCTGAGCATTTAAAAACCCTGCGGCAATGGGGTGTCGGTATTGGGATTAAGGTATCGTTGTGCCGAGACTCTAGTCGGCATCCTGAACGTAGGCGATGGCCGCCTACGTGCAGGATGCAGGGGAGAGTGGTCGCTCCAGGAGTCGATTGGGACGGGGCTGTACGCATTACCTTTTAATGCGTACAGCCAATGTCGTGCGTGAGCTTTGTATAATTAAACAACACGCTCTAACCAACGCATTACTTAGTAACCAATAATATAATAAAATAATCATCAACAAAGGCGTTGATTGTAATATCCTAACTTAGAATATACTACATGGCTGTAAATTTGTTAATCGATTCGTTGCTTTGTTTTTCCATTTGCTTTAAATCTATTATTTAATTAATATTTAATTAAACTTCCTTCACATTTCCTTTACTTGTTCCATTGATGGTAATCAGTACAAAAACAACTTGATAATGATAAGAAGCATTATAATAATATTGTTTATATACTCTTACCGGAATCGATGCTGCTAGTTACAGCTCCCCCATAACACGTAACTGAAGTTTAGTATCTTGCACGCGAATAAACGATCAGAAGTAAAGTTAAACACTTTACAGCACAATATGGTTCGTTTCCAGTTAGTTTGTAGTTAAGTAAGAGTTCAAAAATAACACTTACATGACTCATTTTATTCGCCTTTTTATTCACAGTTGTTTATATGATAAACCTTACTGGTGTATGTAACAAAATAACTTCAACACAATGTTTACATACAATACGCACCAGAGAAAGATTTGCAATAAAAACAAACTTTTACCAAAACAACCCATACCACTACCTTTACAAGACATTTAGAATTCAATTGGTCAGGCATATTTAATAAAAGGCCGTAAGAATAGCGCCTCTCGTATTTTTTACTTTCTTTTTATAACATCAAGTGATGAGACGAAGAAGTAGTGCTGATGGTAAGCTAACGCCTTAATGATTGCCATTCAAGTGGTCTTGACATTTTTAATGATTCTTTCTATAAATTTAAATGTGAATTGCGTCTTAGAACAGCTTAAATACTTTATTTTCATTGTTATTTTGTTTAATCTGTCAAAAAATATTTGATTAATGTACTCGTAATTGCCGTTTCATATTTACTTCAATCAAATATTTATTCCGATCTTTTAATCAGTTATTTACCCTAAGTTTCATGAATAATTTGGATTTATTAATATATGTAAAGTGTATATTTCATTTTTTTTAAATCTGGGTATATGTCTCAGAGAATGGAAAAATATATATTGAATGATGTGGATACCTGTAATTGGCTTAAATTGTTGATATCAACTGTGCCTTACTGAATATGTTGTCTTTTTATCTTATTTTTTATGTGTAATCTGTTAGTGTTCCAAATAAATAAATAAACCTTTAATATCTTCAATGCTAACTTGTTTTTAATGAAAACTTTACCTAAAATATCGCATCCTTGGTGTAATAAGGCCAGATCTGCAAAATGACAATATTTAAAGATTCTACGAACGAAATTAGTCGATAACTTTGGCCAACTTCTGTTGTCGCGATTTTTTTTCGTCCCATACTATGAAATCATCCGTATAAGAAACTGAGTTTATCAGCATTAAAAGAAAATCGGTAAATATATTTATTTTTGAAAAACATTTCATGAAAGTTGACCAACTTCTGCTGTCCCGATTTTTTTCATTCCACGCAATGAAATGATCCTTACATAAAACTGAGTCAGCCAGCACTAAAACAAATTTTGATCAATTTTATTAATTTTTATGGACAACTCACGCTTGATCAAAAAATTTAAAATAGTTTTCATAAAAAAATACTTAATAGTTCCTAAGACAGTTTCATTGTATCTTCTATGGTTTCGGATTTCTCCATATTGTCCCATTTTGAAAAAAACATCCTGTATACATAATTTGTTTCATGTAGGTATTATATTGATTTTATTTTGTTTGGAGATTTAGCTACGTTTTAAATTTCACTTTATTATTAATCTTTCAGTTCAGTTGATTTCATTTATGTATAATACTTTGAACAATGGCTAAGTTTTCACATTTTGATTCTGAATATTTCAATTTCTAAAGTATTTATATCCCTACAATCAATTGTTACTAATATCGTATAAAGTTATTATCACTACTCAGTCTATGGACCTTAGTTAGTTGGTGTCTGACAATAAATGATTTTTATTTTTAATTCATTTATTATTTTTACGACTTTTATGTGATAAAAATACTGTAGACGAACGATCACATGTGGCTTTATTTATTAAGGGCAGGAAAGGTTGAAAAGTAACCTTAAAGTATCAACTCAGTACTAGACTTTAATTTCAACGTTAAGGTAATGGAACACTTAAGTTCTGGAATTCGTCATGTTCTCAAGTTCTATATAACATGCCTGTACAATCTACGTACTCACAAGCTTTTCTCTTATAGTCGTCGGCACTTAGCTATAAGAAAGGGACTCATTATTTCACTGCAAATTATGCCGTATGAAACGGATTTTTTCGGTTATCATGAAAAAGAAGAAGTGTGGAAGGGAATTGTAGTATTCATAATAATATAAACTACATTGAAGGCCACCTTAAGTTCTGTCTATAAATATAAAAATAATATTTAATTAATTAATTAAAAAATAATTTATTATAGATATTATATCTGGAAAACAGTAAAAAAATTTATGATTGTCCAGGCACATTGTAAGAATTTTACAGAAATATATAATTCGCGGATTTTTTGCTTGTAAAGGTTATTTGTTATCATGAGTATTTTCACTAGATTAAATATTATATCCTGTAGCACTAATGAATGTAACTTATAATATTAACGAAAAAAAGTGATTACACGTTCTACGTAGTGATATGATAAATAACTTTCGTCACAATTTCAAGTTTATTAAAGGAACAATTTAAGGATTCGGAATCTAAAGTCGAAAATCGAAGTCTAAAGGAAAACCGAGATATTAGATATGTAATACGTATAAAACAATCACTCAAACGCACAGAATAGCAAACTAAAAAAAAATGTTTAATAGTACGTCAATGTTTTTGCACGTTTTTTTTTTATAAGAAAAACACAAGTAGCTTCTATTAGATGGCTTTTATGAGAAGCAACTTCAACCTTGTTGAGAGCGCTCTTACCTTCTAAACTAAACGTTAATTATTTTGTGTGCAGCTCAATTTCAAATCAATACTCAAAATTTATCAATTAATAGCTTTTAAAAACTAACTCCTAATTTTTTATGGTGAATGAAAAACGTCGTGACTAAACCATATAGGTCGAGAAGGTACTTAAAACTCTTCGAATACACATAAAGACCCCAATTCTTCAATTAAGAAGCACGAGTTTAGTTAATAACTGCTTATCAATATCTGACACTATCTTTAACAAACTATTTATTTACTGGACAGAAATAAAACAATGATATTTATTTTTTAATTTTTAATTAAACCGAATTTAAATAAATACACTTTTACAGCAAAATATCAATATAGAGTTAGATTACCTACAGTTAAATTTAACTTAAATAATAAATGTGACTTTAAAATTCGATTGAACACGTTGATAGAACTTTGGTTAACAATATTGAAGATGCTAGTAACGTTTATCTGTAGCTATTTTCTTTGCCAAACTGTTTTAAGATAATAAGAGCCACAAAACTGAAATAATGAATCCCGTAACATTGAAAAACAGTGATTGAATTTTCTAAGTATAATCATAAATTCAAAAATGTTTACTGTACCTGAAATTCAATTTGTATTAGAATTACACTTATATGAAGGTACAATCTTTTCTGACAGGTAGACAGCCATCTTGTACACTCTTTGATATATATCAAATTTTCTAAAATACACAAATAACATTTAAAATTCAAGCCATTCGCACAACGATTAATGTAACAGTGAATATAAGACTATACGTATAATAACACACAACAACGAGTAAATATAGTTATGTATTAGATTATATATCACTTAACCTAATTGATATGCATGATCATGGTTCAAACTTTGGATATAATTCCGTTTAACTTAACCTCAACTTTTGGATATGTTTTATGCTGGTTCTTTTATATGATATATATTATATATTTTATGCATGAAATACTGTATATAAAGAATAGAAGAGATATTTTGGAGTAAAAGTTACCTACCATTTCTGATATACCTTATAATTTAACTTGCGTCAGACATTAATTTAGAGAAAAAGAGAGATAAAAGACATATCGTTTCACATCTAATAATATTGCAACACGACATTTAGAAACATTCAAAATGACATTAATGAAATATAACTAATTTTTACTACAACACGATTAGTATTTGAATAAATGCGACGGCTCATTGAAATTTCCTTAACAGGTTACCAACTTTGATCATCAATAATTTATTAAAATAATATGCATTAAGTGTATATCTAAGAGTGGTTATACATGGTGACTTTTAGCAGCGATATAAACACGAACGCGCACTTACATCGTTACACTTGCGATTTATAGGTGACTGCATGGGTGCAAACGCGCAACTGCATGGACACAACACGCGATTGCACCGATACAAACGCGTGATTGCATCAACGCAATGTCTTATAAATCAGAAGTTTGTATCAATGCAGCCGCGTGTTTGCATCGCTGCTTAAATGCATCGACGCTTCGACTCTGCACCAGTGTGATTTGAGCCTCAAGGTAGACGATTAGCTATTGCATCGCGTTTGCATCGCTCCCGTGTGTACCGGTTTAAAATAAATATTCATGTGTGCACTACTGTGCAAAACAGTAAACGAGTAGCAAGTGATTTAACTAGTAAAGGTGCCCTTCCACGAAAGGTATAATAACATGTCATAATAATATCACTGGCCAATAAATGCTTTAATTAACTATTCATCTAAATGATCAAAATGTAATAAGGTGTGTAAATGGACTACCCTCGAGTACTCCATCTCGCGTCTTACATACCTACCACATTTTTATAATAATATAGATAGAGTATAGACATACTCTATACTTGTAAGACTACAATATACTTGTATACATTCACACTTAGACTGCCGAACCCAATTGAAGGTATACACTAAAATTGTTCTTCCCATCCAAAGGTTACTTCCTAAGCCAAACCTGTTATCACATCGCAAGCTTCGAACCATTGTATTTATATATTTGTTTATATAATTGTCTACGATTTGCTTACATTTACTTAATTCAGACTAAAGGATATGTTTTTGGTTACAATATTATCACCCAATGAATGCTAATTTCCAAAGTTTGTGTTAACAATTGTATAATAATAATTTTGAAAGGCATGTGTTGGCCTACAAAGAGGACTGCCTACAAAAAAAACTCAAATGCCACTACATCGAACCAACAAAAAGAATGCAGCCATTACCATAAAAAATAAGCATAATAATTATTATAGCAACCGACGCTCTAGAGTCACATTTATTATTCCACTATCTAAATATCGATAAAACTTTAACAGCAAATTCGATAAATTAAAAGATCTAATTTAAAGCTAAAAGGAATGTTAAAGAATATACTCACGTACTACGAAATTAAATATCAAAATAAAAATAAAGCTACAGAACCCAATCACATAATTGTAAATAATTCATAAATAAGAAATCTACAACGTTTCAACATAATAACAATTTATATTAATAAAAGTGATCTAACACTTAACTAACTACACCTAAACTACATCAAATCGAACATTTAGGGGCTCTATTCAATTAATGCAATGTGAAATTATATATTTTTTATTACTTTGTTGAATAATCGTAATTTTACTACTTAATCTTAATTCTAAATTGCATAAATAGATTTCGTAACAAAGTATGTATTTAATTAATAAAGAGTAGACGAATTCGAGCCCCACTTCCTATGCCCAAGTTTAGAGTATTTTAACTCTTCTAGGTAATATCGTAATAGTCAACATCGTAAATGCGCAAAAGCTTATTAGTACATGTACTTACAAGAGAAACGCGGGGGTAAATTATATAAAATATTTATCAATAGTACAGGTTTACAAAAGTAAAACGAAAATTTCGTGCTAAAAATTGTGCCATTTTATGTAGCTCTTGAAATCACATACTTATTAGCTCAAGATTTCTCGAATAGTTTTTTACTAGCTTGTGGAGCTCGTATGCGTTGAAACAAGATAGTTCTCCGAATATTCTCGTGAAAAAGTAAACTTTACTCCCTAATAAGATTGCTTTACTTCGCACGTGAACACAAGATCGCTACAACAACGAGACGCATCTCGAGCGATACCAGCTGATGACAACCCTACTTCCTGTTGATTACTCTACGGTAAGGCATTCATCCCGTAGGTCTTCTAATTGTAAAAATACTTACATTGTAACTTACGCGACACCTTTATAAACCTTTTACTTATCACAAGCTACCGCTCCAAAATACTACAAATTTTTACTCAGCCCAAATTGATATGTATCGTATTTTATTGCACAAATTCATCACTTTACGCAGTTTTTAACTGAACGTAAATTAAATTTGCGAAGGGTCGCATTGAGCTATCCGGCCACAGCTAGCTCGAGGTCGATCCTTCACGGAGGATGAACTTATACCGAACATAAAAGTTGAACATAAACATATACTTAAAAAATGTTGTAGAATCTTAAAAGAACCTGGCTGCAAGGATGAGAACAGCGTTGGTGATTGCGGATTTCAAGGCAGGCGATGCACTGGTGCGTTCGTACGCTGGTTTCCTTTTGCAATTCATTTTCTCGAGTGGCATCTTAGCAACACTATACTCGCGATGCTCGTTGACCATAGTGCAGACGGTGCGCTTCTTTTGCATCATCTCGTCGTCGCGGTCCCGGAGCCCCGCCAGCCATGATTCGTACCACGCCAACTCGCAGTCGCAGATTAGAGGATTATCTGACAAGTATATATTGTATTTACTCCTACACTTTACATTTATTACCGAATACACTTTATAGCAACTTTACACCCTATCAAACTACTCGCTTACTTGTCCCTCATCTGCTGCTTTAACCCATGCCTATAGTAATAATGCATCAGTAATGTAACTTACCCATAATGTCGACGACTCTAAGAGTGTCGAGTACGGGCTCCATAATCTCTTCTGGGATATGATGCAGCTTGTTATTCTGCAAGTTCAGCGTCTCCAATGAGTTAAGATTGTCGAAACCCATCGTTGGAAGCTGATGGAGCCTGGCAGAGACAACAAAAATAAAGTGTAACAACAAAAACTCACAAATATAGAACTAGTGGAATGACCTAAGTCTAAAGTACATGTTTCTTAACATTTCTCTGCATGTTAACCAGTTATGTTGATAGCATTGATAGAAAATGAACCTTTCCCAAAGTTCTAATTACAAACAATACTATAATATTATATGGCATCAATTTTGGCCATAAATGTAGAACAAAAATATAACGTGCAAAACGTACAAATAAAGGCTTGAACTCAAAACCATACAATATTCAAAACAAAAGTAATTTGTTCCTAATTAATCAAGTTGTATCACTGGAGCTCTCGAGCGACTTCTAAACAATGTTACTTGTGAAAATTAATGAAACACCGACGTCTTCATGTCTGGCGTTGAGGGAAAGATATATTTATTCGTCTTTAAGCCGAGAATGTGCCGTAAAGTTCAAAGAAATTTAATTAAATCTATTCCGGTGGGGTTGGGAAGCAAAATTGGACGATGCAATTTTGAGACCGTGTGTAATTTTTGTTCTTTCTTAATAAAATATCAATTACTTTTTCAACGAAATTTAACATAAGCCGCGTAATGGTGGCACTTCACATGGCTATTTGTATTTGCGTATTTGATATATTTGACAAACAATCACCATGTGTTGATAGCAAGAGTTTTCCTTGTTTATCAACAACCACCAATCTCGTCGTATTCTCGATGCACATAAAAGGAGCCAAATAGGCATGTACGCACTTGCCACTTTATGGTCATATTCATTACTTTAAATCCTTATTTTGGCTCCATGTGTAGTCATATTTGTCAGTAGTTGCATGTTTATCTGTACGTTAAATATTTTTCCAAGTACATCAAACACCGAATAACGAATACAAGTGTCACTATGCAAAAGTATCATCTCTATGTAAAAGTAAATAAATATAATAACTTTACAATTTATTATACCTTTCTATTCTTATCTTACTTATTATTAGGAACTTATGTACATGTTTTTTTGGAGATTGAGGAAAGTGATGGAGTCCCCATATCCAGTGAAGGCGTCCTCACTGATGTAGGTGATGTTGTTGGATCGCAGGTCTAAGTGACGCAGGCGATGGAGAGGGCGTAGAGCTTCTGACGGAATCTCATGGAGACGGTTGTCACCTAGTCTTAGGTATTGCAGATTTTCTGCGAAATCGAAGGACATTTTTAAACATATTTTCACTTCAAAGTTCAGTCAAATAGAAAGTATAATTTGAAAGTCAGATGAGAAAATCGTCATAAAATGTCAAAGAGTGCTGATGGTAAGTCCTATAATAATATCCTCCTTCTTTTAGTATGGACAGCCGTGCTAATACTTACTGACGACAGGGATAAAAAAAATAAAAAATATTTGAAGACATACCTTCAAGGCCAGCAAAGGCTTTCTCGTCAATTCTTTGAATTTGATTCCCTTCCAATTCCAACGAATTTAAAAAGGTCAAGTGGGAAAAAACCTGTGCTGGTACTTCACGTAACTGATTATGAGCTAAGCCGAGAGAATCTAGACTTCGCAGTCCTGTGAATAAAATTGAGTATGCTTAATCGTTTATTGATGTGCATGACTGTATATTTATATTCTAGCTACCAGCGAAAGTAGTCGAAAATTGTTATTCAAAACTTGAGTTCTAGATTTTTTGCAGGTGGAAAAAATAACAGTCCCAAATCATACATATGTATATGCATCATATCACGCCTGACACGAGAATAGGCACTATATCATTATTAAATTAATAATTAATTTACCTGCAAAGTCTCCTTCCGAAATGGAAGCAATGCGGTTCTCTTGCATCTCGAGTTTTTTTAGATTTTCGAGTAAAGCCAGTGCTTTTTGTGGTACCGCTGTCAACTCATTACCGCCTAGATTCAATCGTTTCAATTTCCTGAAATCATGTTTCTTAGTCAAATGTACGTTGTGAAATGTTTTAATGATCTCAGAAGCCCCGGCACCACGTTCCATTCCATTACTATACGTTTGGCGCACCCTGGGCAACAATCGGCGAGTACCTCACGCCGATTGGAATTAAATCCTTTCACCACGTGATCACAAGCATTATAGTGTACGCTATCGATACGATAAGAAGAAGAATGTGTTCATACACGATACATACGACAAATAGAACGTAGTCATCGTATAAACTTTTTTGTAACATCTCTCATGAACAATTTTTAGCTTCTATTTTATATTCATTACAAATAACTCAACCGAATTGTGAACAACACAAGACAAAGCGTTAATTTGCCTGAGTACGTGTACGTACGTGTCTTAAAATGTTTTCTTGAAACTGTGTCAATAATTTCCAACAGTAAAACTACGTTGAACTTCACAAAACTCGAGTAATATAAACAAGTCGGTTTTGTGTGACAAAAAGGGTTGTGTAACCCTATCAATGTTATTTGCTTGTCTTTTGTTTGTATTTAGTTTCTTTACTTAAATCGATAACGAAAAACGTTTGATATGACTTGTTTAAATATTTTTATGCGTACACAGGGAGTGCCTTCAGCAAAATATTCTTATGGAAATTAGTACAATCGCTTTATGTATAAAAAGTAAAAAAAATTAATTGATTGAATTTCGAAAAGCTGTTCATGCACTAACACTTTTCAAATTATGTTAAAAAGCTTGTTAATATCTCGTACAATAATATTTTTGTATTTATTTCACTCTTCTATTTGTGTGATATTGTCAAGTGTATATCACCGTAAATTCCATATAACACGAGCTGATCATTTTTTTTTTCCAAATACCTTTAAGGCAAATCAAATCCATGTATTCACTCAGCAAAATAACAAATTATGTTTTACTCACTTTTCTAGTCCCTTGAAAGCTTCTCCGTCGACGACAGATATCCTGTTTTCATACAACGTAAGAATTTCGAGCGTATCTAGACCTACGAATGCTCTGTTATGTACAGCGGTCACCTAGAAACGAAAACAAAATTTTTTATATAATGTGCAGCATTAAATTACCTGCAAGCATCCTGCAAGCGACAATTTAGTACCCAGTCAACCGGTTATACTTAAATTGGTATATCATTAAAATCGTTCTACATGAGCAACTAGTCGTCCAATAACATTAAGAAGCAGCTTAGTGTCCCACGGATACAATACAATAAAGGGTTTAGGATGTTGATGGCGCGAAGGCGCGAGTTGATAATTTCAAAGCCATTACCGTAAGAAAACATTCTCACTGCTCAGTAGACTACGGGACAGCACCAATACCATTTTACAGGTCATACCTGATGGATATGGAATGCCTACAGTCTTTGATATTGAAATAACTGATACCACTTTCATTATTAATATAATTTTGTCATTAACCTAGATCATAGGTTCTCAAACTTTTTGGTTCACCGCCCACTTAAGCAAGATAAAAAAATTCAACGTAGTGGTGGTGGGTGGATAGTGTTAGTGGGCTACCACAAAAAAATAATTGAAAACACGTATTTTTATATTAACTTACTAACACCAAAAAACACAAGGAAAAAACTACACATATTACACGTAGTGTAGTTTACATACACAATTCAGAATTTTTTTCAAATGCGATAGCACCCCCTGTACACCATCAACGCTCCCCAATTGCTTCCGAGGCCCTTACCCTAGGACTCCTCAGAGCCCACTGGTAGGGTCCACTTTGGGAAACTATGACCTAGATATTAAATTACGTTGTAAGAGCACAATACTGTCGAACCGTTAAAACAAATATGTTGTCTGAATAAATAATTATATTATTATGATTAAAATGACTCGGTGTCTTATTTTGTAGATAATTTCTAGCTTTTACCTTATTATGATTCATATTCAGGATAAGCAGATGGTTGAGATGTGTGAACGATGATGTAGGTATCGTTGCCAAGCTGTTTTGAGACACATCCAATTGTGTTAACTTGTTGCCTGTGAAATATTCCATCTCATCATCATTACTATTTACACTAGTTTGACCTTTTTAAAAATTGTATCTGCTGCGTTTCACTTGATATACCTAGTTACCACTTAGAACTGAAAAGTTGATCGTGGGTGCGCTTGCTAAACCCAGACATAAACACTGTATTTTTTGTGTATTAATAATTTATTATATTACTATGACATACTCTGGATTGAGTATAGCAAAACAGGCTTTCTATAATAATAAACACATTGTTACCTCAAAAATGCCGATATAATTGAAAAAAAAAAGATTCATCAACACCTGGAGTGCCGCGCTGTTTAGCTGCGAGATATCGACAATCACAAAGAAAGTCAGGGAGAGATTGGAGTCAATTGAAATGTGATATTGAAGGCAAATGGAGAAAATAAAAGGATTGGAATGATATAAAAAGAAAAAGTTTTAATAATGGTTTGGTTAGGTTAGAAGAGAGAAATCTTTTAAAGACAATAGAGAACAAATGGGAAAATGTTTGGATATTTGTTCCATAGTGACGAATTTGTAAAAGTTATAATTGAGGAGAGATAGAAGGAAAAAGTAAGACCGAGGTTGACTTACACAATCAAGTAAAGAATTACGTCAAAATGAGCCGATACGAAGTGGTTATGGAGCTAACTATGAGCCGAGAGGAGTGAAGGAAGCTACACCGACGACAAGAGCCTAGCTCTTACATAGAATGGTGATGAAGATGATGATTAATTATTAAGAATGTAATTATTTAATTTATTTATTAATTAATTATTAAGTACTACTACTTCTGTAGTATGTAGTATTTCTGTAACGGGGTTAAAAGTAATTGCTAAGTATGAATTGGAAAAACGCAATTAACATTTCGATCTATTGGACTTTGCAAGCGCACCGACGTTGTGCAATTTTTCAAATTATAAAAGTGTTTGTGATTAATATTTTACTCCAAATATAATATATTACACGAATTTAGCTCCTACCTATAGAACTAAGTGAAGAATCTTCAATAACAGCTAAACTACTGTTATGTACGGTCAGATGACGAATATCAAGTCCCAGGAAGATGTAAGAAGGCAGCTTGGCCAGGTTGTTGTGCCGCAGTTTCAGATAGAAGATAATCATTGGCTTCGAACGGAGTGTATTCATGGCCTAAAAAAACAATTTATTGATAAGCTTCCTATGAATTGTTCAGACAGTGGTACGTTTACAACAGTAGCACGTGTTATTACGACCACAATATTATTGACTATACTATATACTGTATATGAAAGTAGCAGTGGATCTCTTCGTCAAAGAGTTTGTCCAAGAAAGTATTGCCACCTTAACTATTTCTGCCTCCAAGCAGTAATGTGAGCATTACTGCGTATTGGTTTTGAAGAGTAAAGATGCTGGTGAAATCACAAGCACATATGAATATCAATTTATGTCTCAAGGTGACGGGCGTAATGGCAGTGTCCCTCAGATCTTTGTATTTAAAGTTCTGAGTGGCACTGTAACTGTTATGCACAGGCGTGTCGTTTACCACCAGGCGCACGACTTGTTCGTCCCGTCACTTGATTTCTAAAAAACACTCCTAGTAACTTGACGACGTGAATTAAGAATAAAAATCTACAAAGATTCTGTGTGTTCACTTTAATACAAGTGTCTTTAAATCAATGTTTTTCCTAACTCGCAAAGTCCCTGCTTTATTAGTTACATAATGTGTAACCTACCCACGTATGGAAGATTTATTACCGCAAAGAGTGTAAGAAGCCAATATACAGGCGCTCCATTTATTCAATACTGCGCCAAAGTAGCCTCCATCAAGTATTTTACCCTTACATAACCCGTAAAGTTGAGCGCAGTGACTTTTACAACGGAAGAGAAAATATTTGTCTACTAGCACTGTTTTCGCAAGATAGTATTCCCGCTTGGTCTCTGCCGAGGAGAGGCATGTAGGTTCTTATTTATATTTCTGTAACGCAACGATATTTTTCTATCTTCAAAAGAGAAACTTGAACAAATACCGCTTAGTCTATATAAATACCTACTACATTCAAATTGAATTTCATATCTTACACCAGCAAGGTAAACAAGAAACAAACGTCTGACAGCAGTGCCAAGAGGTTGAGTACTAGCCACTACGAAGTTCCTCGTCCTTGTACAACTCCACCACCAAATTCTGAGGTTGCGTTTTAAGATACCTTTTGTATGTGCTGTTGCTCAGTAAACTCGCACAGTATGTCGAGTCCATTTTTCTTAACAGTACAGCTGCAGGGAGTCATGGTGTTAGGTGCTGGACATTGTTGCGCGCCCTGCGGGTATGCCGGCCGTGCACAGAGCACTACGCAGCAAACCAGCAGCCAACGCGGAACCATTATGGATCACCTGCGTGGCAGAATATTATTATTTTTTTATTACCTAGTAGCAGTAGAGCAGTAAAGCAATAGAGCGTAGCAGCAGACGGGTGCAGTGGCAGTGCGCCTCAGATCTTTGAGATTTAAAGCTCTGAGTGGCACTGCAACTGTTATGGACAGCATACAGGCGCACGACTTGTTCGTCCCGTCACTTGATATTATCAAAAAAGCCATGAACATCATCAACTCAACTAACATTCACCCGACGTTGAGCTGTATTCATACCTCCTCATGGGCGCAGTGTCTGCCCAGTTTTTTTTTAGTTTTTTAGAATAACATAGGGCTGTATTCCTACTATATAAATATATATGTCAAACTAAGACTTCAATATCTATTCTCGGCTTTCGTGATTGAATATTAAATTTTCGAAGAAGACCTTGGGTGCTTCTAACGCTTGTGGGCCTTGCTGAATCTGGATTAGATCCGGTTTTCGGTTACGTTTTGTTTATATTTACATAAATATATAAGATGCAATAAAATTTACGCATGTTTAGAATTGATCAATATATCGTTAGCCTTAATAACACAATAATTAAATGCTTTACGAGCAACGAAAATTGTGGGGTAATAAAATTTTAATGAAATTGTTTATCGTTCATTCCGTAACAATTTGGAACAAAAAAGTAGTTAATATCAACTTCAAAAACGTCGTTTCTAAAATTCAATGTTTAAAGTTTGTGTTTACACATTATTTGGCTAATAGTTAATACTTTCTATACTAAAGTTGCTTTAAATATAAGTTAATAATTACATTTGAAGTTTATAATGGAGATGAATCAATCTTAGTAATCCAATTTGAATAACTCCAAGATGTCCATAGGATCGGAATTGTCTCGCCTGAATATGTTGTTAATAATTAACTCAAATTTTAGCATTACGGATCATTTGCATTAGTAAACAATGAGAATTAAATCTTTTGAGTTTGTGCTTTCAGTCGCAAAAGAAAATGTATAGATTTTGAAGCAGGAATTATAATTCCAGTATGACCCATCGAAAAAAAAAACATTTTGAAGCGTCGAAAATATTAGAGAAACAAGAGATCGCCTGTACATGGTCATAACCCTACTATATTGACTTTTATGGTCGAGAAAGGAAGAGCCTTACGATTGTGTTTAGAGTGCCACAGAAAAAAAGGATTTCTACTAATAAGAAAGAGCAATTTCTCAAAATATTTGCTAATTCTGAAAAAATATTTATTAAAAGTAACAAAATATTGTCATTACAAAAATACTGCTTATCTTTTTCTAATACAATTTTACTCTTAACTTTATTCTAACTTTGAGACAAATACGTTCACTTCAAGATTTTATTTCATTTGTAATCAATTAATTGGACATTACTTACATCAAGAAATTTTTACCTCTTACATCAAATTTAAATAATCTTAAATGATAGGAAATGAAACTATTTTTCCGGATTTAAATCGCGTATATTTGTTTTTTCAAACAAACCGACGTTTCGGGCCCTTTACAGTCAACCGTGACCATGTTCCTATGTGTAACAATCGCGAAAACCTAAGAACTCGAAATCTTAAATGAATTAAAAATTTCTTGGGTGTATTTTAAGAAAATATATTCTTAAACAAAAAACAAGTACTTTTCTATTCAGATTAATATTCTAAATTCTAGAGTATATTCTTAAAACAACATTTCGTTGCGTTTTCATAGTCAATGTTGTCGTGACATGTCGCCGAAGGCGCACGCGGTAACGATTACTTTTACTTGTGCTTGTAATCATAAAAATCATAAACAGTCATTTATCCAAAGAAACAATACGTAGCATCTCTAGTTTGTTAGGGTGTTATTTATAGTCATAATTTAAGAAATTTGGTTACAGCATGAACTCAAACTATACTTGTAACAAGCACAACTTTAACATGCAATTAGTTCCATCACGCCACTGCTAGATGGCATTAGTTGTACTCTAAAACGCGCAATCGTTTTGTTAACTTCAATAGTATAAAGTCATCTCATATATTTAGAATTGTTAGTGCTTTCTGCCTCTGTAGCATTTATACGACCTCAAGTATTTGAGAAGATTCCGTCCTATTTCTGCTACTTTAAGGTTTATCACTGAACTGTGTGCTTTCACGCAAGTGATACATACTGTATAATAATAATATAATATAATAAATTTATATACTGTATAATACAATAATAATAAATTTACCCTTTTTGATATTAAAAAAACATAAATCTTCAGTGAAATAATTAAGTACCTCTAAATTTTTCATTCTTTTTTTTTTCAAATCAAAATCGGACATTTCTAATAACAAATAAATATTTTGTTGAATCTAGAGTGGCTTTGTGACTTGAAGTAAATTAATTTGCTCTTGGATTAAATATTTCTGTCTTGTAACTAAAATACACTTTTGAGGCGTTTTTTTACTATTATCAAGTAATTATTCTCTAACGTCTATAGGGAAAGGATCGTTTTGTTGGATTTAATAAATTTATCTTCATAAAAAGAATTTTGTCTTTTTCTAAACAATCTGTTTTTACCGTGTGGTTAACGTGAATAAACGCTACCAGTACTTTCTTAGTCACTTGCTAATGAACTGTCTAAAAAAAATCACTCCAAGACTAACATGCGTATTTATATAGGTAAGGCACAAAGATGACTTCAATTTCGTACAAAATTCCTTGTTTTTTTTTTCTTTTATGGGTCTTTATATTCAATATCGTAACTACAGAAAGCGCATCTGTTCATATTTATAGAACGCTGAAAATACTGGTGAGACAAAAATAGTTCTATAGTAAACCAGAATCCTAAAAGTTCCATGCGAAATTGAAAATATATACGTACGTATATTAACATTTGAGGAACTCGTCTTCAGCATTTCTGGTTATATAACATTTTACTAGGAATATATACCATCTTTCAAAATACAATATTCGAAAGTTAGTACTTATTTCATTGAATTGATAAGTATGAAATTAATACTCACGAGTGTATTTGCGTGTGTCAGGTCGGCGAGCGAGTTCGAACCGGAGGGGGGTGTGCCGCGGTCATGGGGCACTAGGTCATGTTCGTACGAGTCCTCCGCGAATCGCCCTGTTGACCAAAAGTATTAAATTTTAATTATTGTTATTTACCCTGTATATAGTATTATTACAAGAGAGCGGCGTATTTGATTGTTCTGTACTGGTACGCCCTACATACACACTTCCAGATACATAATTTGAGCCGCCTTTAATTTTCAATATTAAACGCGATAAAAAAGTGTTTTATTGATCAAAAATATTCATGAAATGTTGAATCTGACATATTAAACGCCATTTCCGTACGTCCTTGTTGAAAAATTGAATTTGTAAAACAGGCAATAATTCAATGATATTTTTGTATTCCAGTCCTTTATATATATTATGCACTACAATACATATTTCAAACCATTAATGTTTAAAATAAATAGTATTATATATATATGTATATATATATATATATAATAACTATATATATATAATATATATATAATACTATTTATTATATAATATATTATATAATATATTTCATGGACTTAGTTAACATACGTAAACTAAACGATATTATGTAACTACCACAGACCACATCCGTGGTAACTACCTATTACAAGGAACTACAAACATATATATTTTCACATGAATGAAAAGAATGATTTGTTTAAATGTTCAGAATGAGTTGAGAAGTTAGTTTAAAAACGGAAAACATTATTTCAAGACTAATAAAATAAAACTTATCCATAACTTCAAACGCAAAAGGTTTTTTGTACCATCTCTTTAACATTAATGAGCATATTTAAAACATTCATATTTATTCGTAAAGTTTATAATTATACTCAATAAAGTTAGGTTTTTTAATGTACATTCCTGGAATGTTCTTCTCTCTTCATTAAAAAATACCACAAAACTTGCAGAAAATGTAAATATGGTTCGTTATTTAAAAAAAATTTTCATCTCTTGAAAATTTATTCCAACTTCAAACAATCTCATTTCAACGTAATAAAACATAACATAAAAATATAATCAAAATAAAAAACCGGTACAAAGCAGTGTACTCTACAAAGTTAATAAGTCAAGCTAATTAATCCGTAAGGTAAACAAATCGTCGAGACCCAGTTAATGCGTCCAAATACGATAGTTCACAATTCTACTATAAATAGTTGAGTAGTTGGGTATTTTGCAGACTATCCTGGTTGCAGAATTAGATCAAGGTAACCATATTATTGTAATGTTATCGAATTTGTACCCTCTATTTTATCTGACCGCTCTGACAAAGTGACCTGAGTATCTTCTCGTCTTATCTTCATGAGCCGTAGAGTCCCAAATGACAGTTTGGACCTCGTAACTGTACGCTGCAATTAGGAGATCCGCAGAAGAACGAAAGTCACCGACATAGCTCAAAGGATTCGCAAGTTGAAGAGGCAGTGGGCAGGGGACATAGCTCTCAGAACTGACGGCCGTTGGAGCAGAAAGGATCTTGAATGGAGACCACGAATCGGAAAGCGTTCAATGGGACGGCCCCCTACTAGATGGAGGGATGACCTGGTAAGGGTGGCGGGTAACCAATGGATGCTTGTCGCGTCCGATCGGCTAGTCTGGAAATCTTTGGGGGAGGTCTATGTTGAGCAGTGGGACGTCTTCCGGCTGATATGGTGATGATGATGACCTGTACACAGCATTCGGCAGAATTTCATGCCTTCGTTCCTCAGTATTTCAACTACGTTTTGTAGGGCCTCATCAACGTTCTCGGTGGATTCCAATTGAGCGAATCTCTCCCCTAGAAGTTTCTGGAACTTCTCTGAACCCACCATAGTTTCAAGTAGATCAAGTCGGAGCGTAGTTCTCACCAGGCGACTTCTTTCAAACTAGAAATCGATTTTCAGAGAACCTCGTACAAGTCGGTGATCAGATCCGGTAATAAAACCTGCTGATCACCAAAACCTCTCTGAATATGTGCCTTTTGTCCGCCATGATTAATTCGCTCTCGTTTTCACTTTCTCGTCACTTTATCGGCGCTTTCCCACGTCCACCTCCTTTAGGGCTTCTCCTGAATGAATGAGTTCATCAGGAACAGCCCTTCCTTTCGAAGAAGTTGATCAGCATCTGAACCCTGTGATTCCTACATCCATAACCATGTGAGCCAACTCGGGATTCGCCTAGATTCTGGAGACCCACTTTAGCATTACATTATAACAACGTTGACGTGAGCCTTGGTGGTGCTGTTGATATGTCCCCGTACGTACATATCTTCCTCTTCGTCATCGATAATTTTTTTCTATTAAAATTAACCTTCAAATAAATAAACAGTTGCTTTGAGATTAGTCCATCCGTGTGGAGGTAGCTCAGTCAGACGTACAGATACACAGACAAAGACTTCAAACGTATAACTCCCCTTTTGTTGTGTTATTTTATAAAAAAATAAGTGCGCATTTGAACTCCATCTCACCTGATGGAAAGTGACGATGAGATCGACGATGGAACCTACACACCTACACAAAGCCTATTCACTCTCGCCTTGAAAAAATATATAAATTTGCTACGAAATCAATACCGGAGAAAAATAAATCTACTTGACCCCCATGTCTCCTGATGGAAAGTGACAATGAGATTGACGATAGAACGTACACACCTAAATAATGCATATTCAGTCTCGCCTTAACAAAATATATTTATAAACTACTACGGGATCAATACCGCAGAAAAAGAAATCTAGGCAACGGTTTTCCATTCTAAGGGAAATTTAAAGTACTCTTACTCGATTATCTTTGCAAGGGCAGTCTTCCTTCACTTTGTACTTTGAAGAGTTAAGTGGTAGTAAAGAGTACTTGATAATTCTTCGCAAAAATAAATAAGTGAGGTTGCTTATATTTCAAAAGGTCTGTCGTAATATTTATTTCTTTTGTTTCTTTATCGACAGCCATATATTATATAACATATGTGTATATGCGCGAGTAATATTTACACGCGTAGAGAAGTCTGCTGAAGTTTTGATGGATATATACTATTCTAACATAACAAAATCAATAGTGCGCTTCAATTGAAATTCAGATAGAAACATTACAAGAAAATATTTCACTTGATTTTATTCGACATAAATGAAACAAGTCTTCAGAAATGGTAAAGACAAAAGGCAGGTCCTTCGCAACATGGAAAAAAAACAGAACGAAATTTCGATATATAAAAAAAACAACACTCGGATCCATTTGGTCGTCCTCACTGTCATATTGGAGTTTGTTTAGGACGCTCGTAGGGTTAAACAAGTACTGACAATTTTCTAAATTTACTTTTGGGCAACCTAAACCAACAATTTGCGAAGACAGCTTTAATAAATTAAAAATTGTTCAAACACTTTTCGGTAAATAAGACTTTGGATAACATTTTCAAAACAAAATAAGATTGAATAACTTCACTAGTTTGTGCATCTGTCAATTGAAAATAAGGTTAACAATAGTTTTAATTATACTTTTTTGTTTACTGTTTTCTCAATTTAACCATATTTACTAGCAGTAGAGCTCCTTGTGAAAGAGTTCATCCAGGGAAGTACTACCACCTAACCTACTTCTGCCACCAACCAGTTGTGTGAACATTACAGCATTCCGGTTTTAAAGATTAAGGGGTGCTGAAGAAATTACAGGCACACGGAACTTGTCAACTTATATCTCAGGGTGACAGGCGCAAGTGGCAGTGTTCCTCAGACCTTTGCGATTAAAGCTCTGAGTGGCAACTGCAATAGCTGTACATAGGCGTGTCGCTTACCACCAGGCACCCGACTTGTTCGTCCCGTGTCTTGGTGTCATACAGAAGAATTCTCCTTTCTAAGGAGTTATTGTTCTCAATTCTATTTTCAGCATTAGTTAATAAAAGTTTCAATCATGGTATTGTAAGCAAGAACGTAATGTGCGAGTAATTTTGGGTTAAAAATAAACGTGATACCAATTACCTGATTGTAAATTAGGTAAATCACTCCGGGATAATACTTAAAACATTCAGACCAGACCTACCGGTACCTATTAAGTTAAAAGAAATCAGCATTATTACACTTGCACTGGCGTCACAATACATTTATGAAAATTTAATTTGTATTAAGAAGAATATTAATATCTTTGTAAATATTTATAAACATAATATTAACACAAGGACTAAAAATAAACATACTTTTCTTGACAGTTTTAAGGACATGCAGCAGGATAAGCAGGTAGATTTAAGGACATGCAGTGCATACGCTCCTATAATAATAATCCGGTTGATATTCAAAATTTCCCATTCACAAAGTTACTATGTTATATAGTGAAACAAAAACTTCATACTAAAGGTTATTTTATACAGCTTCTGTGTAATTGGATGACAAAAAGGCATAATAGTGTGTGATAATGTTTATTTATTTACAAAGACCAACCCTTACGAGTTTCTTACTTATTCTTCTCAAGGGAACCTGACTTACGAATGAGTTGTATAGTTCAACCAATGTAACGATTTCAAGCGTAATTTGTTTACCTATGAAATAAAGATATTTATTTGATTAAATTTTTATTGAATTGATATTCAATTATTTTTTGTGAAATTACTCCACTAGTTTGTTATAATTATTAATACAAAGATCGAACACTCAGAAAAAACACTCAGAAAAAATTCCTTCGATCCGGTCGGATTCGAACCGACGTCCTCTTGCATACCGTGCCAGACGCTATACCAACTAAGCCACGGAACGAACCAACGGACCTCACGAATTTTTCTATGTGCTTGCGTCGTGTCTTTGTACTTGGTCTTTCAATATTTATTTGAGTTTGAGTTTATTCAACCAACGTCCACATTGCAAATTATCATCTATTAATCCATCCATCAAAAAAGTAAATTTTTTTAGATAACATAATTTTTTTAGCACAAAACGTGCAAAACATGTTGGCAGCTCCCTTACTCAATGTGTTAGTTAAGCCCATGAAATACCAAAACGGAATAGAGAATAGATGTATTTGGGCAACCAATAGTAGTAATACCAAATTACAATTGGTTGCTGAAATACACGACTCAACTTCGCTTCGTGTGGCAGATAATGGGCCTTTGGGGCACCTATCGCAGAGAACATTCATTTATTGCCATCATCATTTTACGAGTTCATATGTACACTACGATCTTTGTTTTAGGCATTACAACATTTAAAATTTTATGATTTCAGTCGAAAAATATCCGTTGGTCTTACGCAGCTTGCATCCAACGGATTCTCATAACCATCACCAGGTCATCGGTCCACCTTGTCTATTCTGCGAGCAATGTGCCCCGCCCATCATTATTTTATTAATATTTAATGTTTTAAGTAAAGCTGTTTAAAAATTAACTAAACGCAATTTGTCGAGTTCTTAGGTTTTAGCGATTGTTACACATAAGAAATGAAACTATTTTTTATGGCAGGTCTTCGCTCGACTGTTGGTGGTTTCACACGAGGCCTGCGGCATTGGCGTGGAATCTTCAACTTATTCGCGTGTCGGACTTGCTTTATATGCTAAAGTTGGCTGGCAGGGGGCCAGATGATTACTGTCGCAGACACCATGTGCTCTCTGAAACAAAACTCTTTGTTTCAGAGAGCACATGGTGTCTAAGCACCAACAGTCGAGCCAAGACCTGCCATCTTACCTTACGTGAGAGGTGTTACAGATAAGATGGAAGAGTCCTCAGGTGTGCATATATCAAGACCTATTTCAAGCCCCTGAGGAAGATTTCTCAGTTCCTGAGACCCGTGAAATGTAACATCCCCTTACAGGATGCAGGGTTTACAAGCTTGACTGTGAGTGCGGTCTCTCTTATATTGGACAAACAAAGCGATGTATTTGTACCCGCGTCAAAGAACATAAAGCTGGTGTCAAACACCGTCGCGTAAACAAGTCTGCAGTCTGCGAGCATGTCATGGATAAACCTACACATTCAATGAAGTTTGACAAACCCCAGGTCCTTGCAAAAGAAGTCCGTTATCTACCCAGGATGCTGCGAGAGGCTATTGAAAATAAAAACATCCTAATTACAACAGGGAAGATGGTTTCTCCGTACCACCAGTTTAGGATCCAGTATTTCCTCTAATGAGAAATCCCAAAACAGACATAACACTGCAGTACTAATTAATATGTTTTAGTTTATTCTAATTTCTATTAATAATTAATAATAAATTGAACTTAATAAAAATTCATTCCATAAAATAATTTGTAAAACTTAATTAAATTAAATTTTTTTATGTAAATTAAATTAAATATTTATTATGCGTAAATTGGAATGTTTTCTTTGTAAAATTAAAAATAAGGTATTTAATTAATAACTATTGTAACTATAGTGAAAAAATAGGGTGGTTTGCATCAATATTAGACATAACTGGTTGAAGACTACCACCTCAGTCAACCGTGACCATGGGACCTGTACAGGGCCCGAAACGTCGGTTTGTTTGAAAAAACAAATATACGCGATTTAAATCCGAAAAATAGTTTCATTTCACATAATAATAAAAAAAAAGAAAATCACAAACGGAATAATTATTAACTTTAAATTGGTCTATATAGCTTTATAGTCGGTTTGTTTGCTCGCTTAGAGGAGATTAATAAATAATATTAAAAAATAAGTTTTTAAGTATTTTGATACCTAAATTTGTAAGTAGCATTGTGCTACTTAGCAGCGTAAGGAAACTCCAAGCATAAATATTGGTCAATGACACGTTAACACAGTCAACAAAGGTAGCATTACCCTAATTTAACGTTTCAAATGTTCAGCATTATGGCGCCAATGGTGCCTTAATGGGGTGTAAAGGTATTGCGTTGCGCCATGATCAGGGGATATTATCTTCAATGTTATAAATTTGAACTATGTACTATAATATACATTTCTTAGCGATCTATATATATACATATATATATATATTTCTTTGATATACATAATTTAAAATATTTAAAAATAATATATATATATGTACATATATTTATATTATTTTTAAATTATTTGGTAACATAGTGTTCTAGAGGCCATTCTACAGTCAATTTAAAATGTTATTTTTGTTACATTTCCAGTGAATAATAACAATTAATGTATGATCTGAGTGTATTTCGTATTTATAATTTTATATATTTTTTATATAACACTAAATTAAAACTGTTTCCTTTTTAATTCATCTGATGTACTTATATAAGTACTTTCTAATTAAAGATTACGTTTTCCATCTATTTAAAATGAGTACATACTTATACCCAAGGGGTAGAAGAAGTCACGTGAGAAGAATACAGAAAGAACTTTTAAAAATATTAATACAAAGTTTGCGTACCTTTAGCACGTTTGTATTTTATATAATCCTTTGTTTATTTTAATTTCGAATGCACTACTCGTACACAGAGGCGTCTTGTTTAAACTCCAGTCATAAACGTGTTCATGTCAAAGTAGTGAAATCCTCTACTACAACACGAAATTCACTCGATTCTATATCCTTTATATCACAAGCACAATATTACGTAACACTGTCTTCTGAAGTACTTTTATCCAATAGCGACGGAGAATGCACCATTATTTTTTATAGACAAATGCAATATCCTCGCACCGGTGTATCTGGAGATACTTTGTTTTATAATGTTTAGCGGATAAATATAGTTTGTGCGCAGAACGCGACAGTCCTGCCTCGAGAATCTCTTTCGAAAACAGTTTACTGTAGCTGTTGCAAAGCTCAGTCTATAGGTTCCATTACTTGCATAACGAAGTGCTCAATTGGCGAGAAGTTATCTGAGCGAGAAATGTATATGAAGCGTGTTGGGTGACGTATGAATTGTGGTTAAACGCGAGTACGTGGGGTAAGGCCCCAGGCCCCTTCATTTTATCATCTATTAGCGTTTGATGGGTCATCTCCGCTGGCCATGTCATTGTGCGCCTGAGCTGGGTGCCGTTTAGAGACAGATAGCTGCCGGCTACGTTGCTACGTACTGACCATTCCGATGTCGCATCCTAGCGAGTCGCTGAACTCGTAAACGCTACTGCTAATAATTTACTTTAATAATAAAGCTAGTTTATATTTTTAAGACCTTTATAATAACACATTATAATAGCTACTCTACCTAAAATTACAAAATTATTATTCCTATTCGTATAAAATGTATTCAAGTCGTGTATGTAATATAAATACGGAAAAGTTGCAGTGTTCTTAATGCCAAATCACGTGAAGTGAATTAAAATACAGTCAAAACTCTTCGGTGGGGACCAAGGAATATATAATAAAAAATAATAAGTACACCAAGCAATATAGCCAAGATGTCCGAGTGTGCGCGAGTGAATTGAAATTGTATTCAAAAACAAAATACGTTTTCTATTACGAAAGCGCTTTGTATTCAAATGACTAACTAACCGCGAATAAAATTGCTGTCTAACGTGTATTGTGTTTTAATTCCTGTTAACATAAGCTTGTTTCCGGCGGCAGCATTCCGGTAAAGCCCCTACTTCCTCCCCACTACCCCCACTGAATGGGGAGAGACCGGAAGAATCCGGTACGACCGTTACTCAAATATAAGGAAGAAACTAAATAAATTACAGGATATTATCTAATAACTGTGAAACAATACTTTAAATTGCCAATTAAGCATAGTCGAGACAACCAGCCAAAGAAACCTGCGTGTCAGAGAAATAAATGTAGTGTCACATTTTAAATATCTTCATTTTCATAAGGTCAGCAGAAGAAACGTTAAGTAAAAGGAGTAATTAATATTTTCCGATGAGCTCTTGGTCACGACTTTCGAACATAATAAAAATTCAGAAGAAACCTCTTATACTTTATTACAAGTCTATTCTTATTACTAATGAAATGAAGATTGTTATTTTAAGCAAAATTACTCTGTGTGTGTTTAAGTAAATGTAAATGAGCTAGAACTACAAGTTCTCATTACTTAGTTTCCTTGCGTTTTTCGTTTATAGGCACACAAGAAAAATAAACTTTGATTTCGCCTTACAAACACCTGAGCCATTGTATATGCAGAGACTGCAGAATCCGTAATACAAACTAAGAGATAGAGACAATTTTAGAACCGTAGCCTCTATCGATCGGCACGTAGCGACTGTCAACTCTTGGCTTAAGTGTTAAGCCCAGCAAATCTTGGAAATGGAGAATTCATAAATATGGTTTTCGTATTGGAAATAAGATTAACAAATATTCGATATTAATTACTTTTGCCGTAATAAGATTGGAAAAACGTTAGGGTACTTAGGGTACCTCAAAATATAAATAATTCTCTAAATTGCGAGAAAATTCTAGCAGGCACAGTTCACTATAGTAGTTGTATCCGCTCCATTAGTATCGTTAATGTTACAGTCATTTACGCTATACTAGTGCCACTCGTATTTTTTTTAATTTGTCGAAATTTATAAATGTCAATTTTCATAATTTTTTGTGAATTCGAAACCTATTTACCAAGTAAAAAAAAATTTTTTGAACATGTTTCACCTAAAACGGAAACAAATGTAGTTAGAAACAAAAAAGTAAAAAATATAAAACAAAGTTTACATTTAAGCGTAAATCTCAACGCTTATTTTTAACATTTTTCTTATCTGTAACTTACACTAAAAAGGTTTTATTTCATATCAAAGTGGCCGGAATTTTAAAACGATGATTTCATACTTTAACACCAAATATTTCCTCCGTTGCCGTTCATTGCAATATAGAAAACGCAATAAAGGTGGTTAGGACCTACGAGTAAGTTCAATATTTACGACTTTTCATCTTTCTACGATATTAATCTACCTGGACCGCTTGCCAAAAATCCCAATGCGGTAATGAATTTTGTCCCAGATTCATTGTTCTAGGTTTCGAATAATTTATAAATTAGGTATAACGAATAATAATTTAATAATTACTTTTAAGTCTCTTTGTTACACCCTAAATGGGTCACGTTACAAAATTTTATTATAAGACTAGTTTAATGTGCATGTGCAAAATGGAAATAAATAAACAAATTCCTATTTACAAGGCTACAGCATTCTACCAATTCGTTCCTAAATTAATACGCAGTTCAAACGACAAAGTGTACTTACCCAAGACCCTGTATAGATTGCATGTACTCGTAAGTAATTCAAAGGCAATTTAAAGAAGATATATCGGAATTCTTTGAACACATGTCAATTCCTTAGCTAACTTTGGGCTGTGGAGACTCGTATATCCTCATGAGACGTCAACAGTGGAATATTATATAAGTGGTAACAAATTGTAACATAGCTTCACAACTACTATATCGGCGTATGTACAGTGTGATTTTCAAATTAAACAGCACTTTTATATATTTACTTCCCGCTTCCAACGTGTCGCCTAATGCCTGCACGACTGCAACATATAAACCGGAGTATCCGGATCGACGTAAAACTTTTTGCGCTCTGAACTAGATATAGTATTGTACCTACTTCTTTAGAAGGTAGTCGATCTATAAAGCCGGATTTACATTTGTCTGACGTGTCGTGTAGTGACGCGCCAGAACAATATCGGTTTCATAGACAGCACAAGCCGTCACGTCAGCTTTCGATACACTAATATAAATCTAACCATATTAAATGTATGAAACCGATACCGTTCTGACGCGTCACGACACGACACGTCAGACAAATGTAAATCCGCCTTTAGATGTCACACGTATGTACCGGTATTCTGAAACAACAATGTCCGCTACCTACCTTAATATAAAGCTTTTATTCTCTTCTGCCACCAATAAAAAAGTGACGTCCGCCACTGTCTCGGGGCTGACGCAACAAAATATAATCACGTTTAACACTTTAAAGAATTATTATTATTGGCTGAACAATAAATATTAAATTAAAAAATCGGTTATAAATTGCACCTGTGTGGTTCTTATCCTATCATTCTTGAAAAGACAACTCATTCAAGGAGATAATTCTTAATTTCAATAAATGTATTGCAATACCTACTTCTTCTGGCTATAAAAATATTTAATTACATTTCGACGTCTTCATTGCAATAACAAATAGTATTTAAGTATGTGAGACAAATGCGGGTAGATCGTAGTTAGGGGTGAGAACTAATGGTTACGTCTGCTAACGTCACTTACAACATTAAGACCTGGGGGCCTATCACAACCTCCTAAAACAATAATACTTTAACCTTACATTGACTTTTCGTACCATAACGCGCTTAAAGTAAGCTTATTGTAATGTTAAAACTATGATGTTTTATTGGCAGCTTTGTGACTATTCATTCACTCAGTTCGTACTATGACGCGACTTTAACATTAAAGTAATATTGCTCTTATGTCAAATTTAGCAATCTTAAAATAGTTACACGGATGCAATGGAAACAATATTATTTTCAGTTTTGTTGTCTTAATATTGATTTGTAATGATTAAAAGTTAAGTTAAACTTATTTATTTACGTATAGGTATCTCTTCAATATTTTGTTTATTTTTTATTTAATAGCACATAGTAAATATTATACACATAGTAATATATAAGGTATTTAATTAATAACTGTTGTAACTATAGTGAAAAAATAGGGTGGTTTGCATCAATATTAGACATAACTGGTTGAAGATTGTACCACCTCAGTCAACCGTGACCATGGGACCTGTAAAGGGCCCGAAACGTCGGTTTGTTTGAAAAAACAAATATACGCGATTTAAATCCGGAAAAATAGTTTCATTCCTACACATAGTAAATAATTTTTCGTTAAATAAAAATACGCGATGTTTATTTCGTAAATTTATAACAGCGCCATCTATATGCTCCTTGGCGAAACTAACAGTTGACACTAGACTATAGTCCCGAATTCACAACGTGACTATCAAGACTCAGCTTGTTTTATTTATTTTTCTTCATGAAAATCCGGAATAATTATTGAAAACAACGTAATTTTAAAATATTTTATTACAACATACTTTTCTTTTCTTAACAGTCAAAATTCTTTGAATGTAAATAACATCAAGTACTTAAACATTATACTACGATAAGACGATTCGGAACATCAAAAAAGAAAGAGATGGCATTGTATAGTTCACATAACGTTATCTCTTTCCTATTTTTAGTACGGAATAGACAATATTGGGAAATCATTCGTTCTTTCAATCACTTTTGCAATAATACATTACTTGGTTGACAGGTTCATCATGGTACGAATATGAGTAAAATTATAATAAGCTTACTTTAAGCTTACTTTGAAGATTAAGATTGTTTTTGAAAAGGTTATGGAGCCCCCAGAGCGGTGGCAAACGTAACTTTTAAGTTCACCACCACGAAGCAGCACAAGTGATTGGAGAGAAAAGTAAAGGTTCGTAAACCATATTTCAATCCATCTCACTCACATGCCTGAATGCAAGCTACCCGTCCAATCGGACACAGCGGTTTACGTATCGGAAATTTCACGCTTTCCTTTCACTAATACCTACACCGGTTTCGACACCTTTCTGATTCGATTGGTACAATTTAGGAACATTGTCGCAAGGATTTGCTTATTATCCATAATTATATGATACAGGTTAAAGTGTCAATTAAATATAAAATGACATCAATATAAATATGAATAAATAATGCTTCAAAAAGATAATAGCTGACATCATGCTG